AGAGACCTTATGTAACCCATTATTTCCCAAACTTATTTAGCTAAGGAACCAACTTGGTTAATGGTGAATCAAACTGCCAGGTGAATGTTTACATGTGTGTTTAATAATGAAACAAAGAGATGAAGAATTAGTTCACATTATTTCCTGAACTGCCTACTTTTAAACCTGTAGCTAACTTTCTGCACTGGAAGATACCTACCCAGCTGTTAGGAAGTAGGTCTGCTGGACACTGAGGAATGGAAGGAGGTATGCTGTGCCCTTGGTTTACATGGGTGCTGAGCGGCAGGGATCTTTTCTTCTGTGGGAGAGGCTGTTCAGCCTCACTTGCTCAGTGACACAGTTTGTAGTTTCTCAGAAAGGGTCTTTCTAAAGAGACCTGACAGGACCCAAGAAACCTCACCAAACACAACAACTGGGTTCCCTAAGAAGGGTAGGATGGTGTATCTGGCAGAGAAGGTAGATACAAGGCAGCCATGCATTGCTCAGTGATTAAAAGCTTGTGCTTTGAGATTCTAAGTTTCCAGTATTACAAGTTTCTAACCTGGGCATTGAGCATCTGTTTCCACTTTTATGAAACAGAGATGGTAATACCTCCTCTGCAGGAAAGAGTTAGTCTAGCAGGCTTAAGGATGCATATCCTAGAAAAGAGCTTGGTTGACATCTCAGAACTTGGATTTTGGGAAGGTCCCCACCATTCCCTGGTAACGAATGGCTTGCTGTGCCTGAACTGTTTATGCCAAAAACTGGTTTATGCCGAACTCCTGCTTTCCTTCTGGAATTTAAATATGGATTAAGCAAGGGGTGCCTATGTGACTAGTACCAAATAAAATCCTCATTCCCTTAATCTCCGATGGGCTTCCCCAGTAGATGGCATTTTACGTGTGTTGTTACAGTCAGTCCTGGGGGATTTAACCACATCCCGCGAGAGTTCACTAGGAGAAGACCTCCGAAAGTCCGCACCATCCTCTAGACTTGGCCCCATGTACCTCTTCCCACTGCTAATTTTGTTTTGTGTCCCTTCACTGTAATAAATCACAGCCATGAGTATGACTGTATGCAGAGTCCTATGAGTCCTCCTGTTGAATCAACAAGCCTGAGGTTAGGAACTTATAAAACTGGAGACTTAGAATCTCAAAGCACAAGCTTTTAGTCACTAAGCAATGTATGGCTGCCCTGTATTTACCTTCTCTGCCAGATACACCATCCTACCTTTCTTAGAGAACCCAGTTGGTGTGGTTGGTGAGGTTTCTTGGGTTTCTTGGGGATGGTCTTGGGGCCCCCTGACATAGGGCTACCATGAATGTGGGATAAGACACATTGAACTTTTAGCACTGTAGTAGGTAGAGATTGAGCATGAGCATATCAGAGAGAAGAAATTATCTGCCAAGCAGATCTTTGCTTCCCTACTAGGTGTTCCTCTGTTCCACAGTGTTAAAAGGCACTAGGACCCTGGTTCTGTCTTTCACCCGAGTGTGGTCCTCCTCATTGCTAACAGAGTAGCAGCCAGTGCTGATAGCATATCACTATACATCTTGGAGATTTTGTCTCTGCATCTGTGAGCTTCCCAGGAATATTCCTTCAGGGTATAGAGCTGTTTTGTGTTTTCCTTGTAAGTTGTTCCTTTATAACTCTTTAAATCAAACTTACTGAAGAGGTAGAACTCTATGTTTGACCATGGAAATTATAGTTGTGTAGGTAGGATGCAGTGTAGGTAGATTAATTCAGCTGTGGGTTTCCTCTCCACAATGCTCTTATTTAAGAACAGAAACAGTATTAGTTCATTGATATTTTCTTTTCAATGCTCTCATTGAATGGCATAGCAACCACTGGGAAATTCACAATGAGAAAGGGAATAATAAGACATTTCTTTTCTGCCTCTAAAAATATTTGGCCTAGCATTTTCAGTGCTTGTTCATGTATGAATACAGGCCAAATAACTCTTCTCAAATGATTTTTCTGAAATAATTTCTATCTTGCTTTAAAAAAAAATGGTCATAGCTAAAGTTTCTTAAACTGTCAAGCAGACTCAGCCAACAAATGGCCAAATTATTTTCAAATGTATTTTATGCTCACTTTCGAAAGATGATGTATTAAGCTAATTATTGGTGTAATTTCCTGTCACTGAAAACATTCCAGGCCTTCAACCACATAGTAATATCACAATCAAAACTCCTTTGAGTTAGCACTCAATTGTGTAACAGCTAATATAGTTACCCACATTGGATGTTGTTACTTGAAACTTTGAAGCAGCTAAAATAGAAACCTAAAAATGGCAAGCATCTGAAGATGCAAGGTAGAGGATGATAATCAGGGTTTTTGTTATGTTCGCTTTATCTGTATAGCAGTCTACTCCAAAACATAATGTTTTAAAGGAAAAAAAACATTTATTTGTGTCTTGATTCTATAAGTGGTACTTTGAAGTCCAGTTTAACTGGGTAGTTCTTCTGCTGGTTTTGACTAGGCTCACTCATGTGGATAGCTGCTGGGCAGCTGGACAGCTCTGCTTCTCAGGGTCGACTAGTTGCTGGTTGGGGAGGCAGGTGACTGGAGTACATGGCCCCTCATTTTCCAGCAGGATAACCTGGCTTTGTTTTCATGTTGACTGCAGTTTCCAAGGACAGCAAGAGGGCAAGCAAGCCCCAGTGTGCAGGCACAGAGTATATTGGTGTCATATTTTCTCTTATCTCATTGGCCACAGCAAATTATATATCCAAGTCCAGAGTCAATATGGGAGAGGCATCCTTGAAGGCATGGGTACCAGGAAGCATGAAACATTGTGGGCCACTTCTGCAGCAGTCTATGGCAGCTGGATTCCTTTCCTTCTGTACACTTTGGCTTGGGAGTGCCCAAGGTGTAAGGTCAGCTGACTTGTATTTATTGACCTACTTGTAGTAAAGTACTTTTATCGAATTGTTTTAAAATATGATTATATTTTCCAGGAAAGATAACATATCAAGATATTTGAAGACCTTATAATTGTTCATCCATTTTCATTACGGCCCTTCCAAATTAGTGTGAAGTAACAACCAAAATAAATGCAATGGGTTTTGATGGAGTCCAGGGAGTGAAGGCTATGAACGATCTGATCATTGCTGAGAGAATATTTATCTAGGTAGAGGATGGAAGAGGAGCTTGAGAAAACTGGAAGGCATGGGAAGACTCTGCCTGCCACACAGGGATAAGTGTTTTAAAAGAAGTAACAGTTTTAACAGAGGATGAAGGGAGGTAGAGAAGGAAGAATGAAGAGAACATGCAGCTCCAACCCCATGTGCTATTTACTGAATAAATGTGCTGCTTAAGGTTATTTTAGTCCATCAACAAATATTTCTTGAACCCTACTATAGGCCAGGCAAACAGTAAAGAAACATCAGTAAAAAAAACATTTTTTCCCACATGAATCTTACATTCTAGTATTTAAAACAGACACTGAACATATGATTACATGTAATTAATTAACCACAAGTGAATAAATGCTATGAATAATATATACATAGAAGGGTAGGAATATATTACCTACCCATTCCAGTCAAAGGGCTGAGATAAATCTTTCTCAACAAAGCAACATACAGGCCAAATCATCATCATCTATTTTTTTGAAACAGAGTCTCGCTCTGTCTCCCAGGCTGGAGTGCAGTGGCATGATCTCGGCTAACTGCAACCTCCACCTCCCAGGTTCAAGCAATTCTCCCACCTCAGCCTCCTGAGTAGCTGGGATTTCAGCCACACACCACCATGCTTGGCTAATTTTTGTATTTTTAGTAGAGATGGGGTTTCACCACATTGGTCAGGCTGGTCTCAAACTCACGACCTCAGGTTAATCGTCCACCTTGGCCTCCCAAAGTAAAACATCATCTTTTGTAACACCCATGGTAGTGTTGTAAGGATTCTCAAAATGATGATGCTTGTTCTATTCACAGCTAAGTAGATGCAGAGAGGAAAAAGCCATTATCCGGAATCACAGTGAATAGGTGACCTACCTGGGATGCAAACTCAGGTTTCCTTATGTGGTTTCAACATCATAAAGCACATTTTGCCTATTTTACATATTTTCTAGAGGCATTCTGGTCACCTAGGTAAGCTATGTTGTTTCAAACAGGTAAAGTACACTGTAAAAAATTGTAAATATAATATATAGTGAAAAATGAGTCTTCCTCCCTGCCTTCTTCCCCTGGTTCCCTTCTCTGCAGGTAATGTCAGTCAAATTTCTTGTATATTTGTCCAGAGGTGTATAATTAATACTTGAAGTACTTTACTTTGTGGCAGATGTTTTTGTAAGTGCTTTCTAAATATTTACTTGTTTGATCTTTTATGTGGTGAATATCATTATCAACCCATTTTTCATGTGTGTCTGTATTTTATTCCACACAGATGTTTTGGATTTTAAGTACATACCAAACTTTGAGATGTTTTCCCCGGTGTCAGCTTTAATAATGCTACATAACAAACAAAGCTAAAATATCAGTGACTTAATTACATACATTTATTTCTCATTTGTGAGTCAGCAATATCTCAGTTGGGCTTGCCTGGTCTTGACTTCAGACCGGTGGTTGGGCTTGTGTCTGCCCTCATGCATCTCTCCTTCCAAGACCTAGGCTGGGGAAGTGTCATCTACCTGAGAGAGAGATCTTTGTGGCAAGTGGCACAAGCACAAGGAAAAAGTAGAAACACACAATGCCTCCAAAAACTTCCACCCTGAAGTTGCCAGCTGTCTGTTCCATCCATAGTCTGTTGGTCAAAGCAGGTCACATGGCCAAACCAAAGTCAACGGGGCAGGGAACTATACTCCACATGGCAACTTGAAGGCAAGAACAGCAACAATAACAAAATCGAATACGATTATCTAATTTACACACCCTCAAAATTCAACTTTTATCTTTTGCTGCCGGGATCTGGGGGAATAACTGAAAAGATATTACCCTGAATGAATGAACATTTGCTTTCTTATGGTCTTCTGCTGACAAGATGTAAACAGCTGCATCTTTTCTATTTACATTTCCCAGGTTTTGGCATCATGTTTGGGAAGAAAAAGAAAAAGATTGAAATATCTGGCCCATCCAACTTTGAACACAGGGTTCATACTGGGTTTGACCCACAAGAGCAGAAGTTTACCGGCCTTCCGCAGCAGTGGCACAGCCTGTTAGCAGATACGGCCAACAGGCCAAAGCCTATGGTGGACCCTTCATGTATCACACCCATACAGCTGGCTCCTATGAAGGTATGGCGAGCATTCCATCTTTGGGTGGGCTTAAGAATCATGCTCTTATTTTATGCGCTGCATCAGCTTCATAAGCAAGCTATAAAATGCCTAAACCATGTATTTTTTAACATTCACAGATTATTCACAATTATTCTTTAATGATTATAATTTTCACCATTTCTTATAAATTGCAGCACATGAAAAGGAACTTTGGCTTTAGATGTGATTTTTTAAAAATCAGACATGTAAAATGGAATCACAAAATAGGACATTTGTATTTTGACTTTAAATGGTGTTTTTGCTAAACTTTATACCGAAGCATTTTATCCTTCCACTCTGGTTAATACTGGCAATGGCCTCTGACCAACATTAGACCACCTTTTGTTGTTTTTTATTTTCTCTCAAAATATTTAAACTTTTATATAAAATTTATTACCGATAGATTTTAATGATAATATTTATAAATCTACATACATGCATATATAGGCATATACTTATACATGTTCTATTTATAATCAAATATGTGTGTGTATATACATATGTTCATATTTATTTGTCTTTATGGCCTAAGAGAGAGCTATTTCAAATAAAAGCAAATAATTTGAGTCCTAGAATAAGATATAATTTACCTTAAATATATAGCTAGGAAATTTTTGGCAATAATGTTTGTAAAAGTAATTACATGCAAGCAGAAAGCCAACCCCAAAAATTTCAGTTATGCCACTTTACTACAAAGAAAATCCAGGGATTGCAGTTTTCTTCTGCACTTCAGAATGATAAGAATTCTATAGACTATCAGGCAATTGCCCAAAAGTTTTCTATGGAAGTTAAACATCATTAAAGCTTATCATCATGTTATCCAATGGATCATTCCAGAGTTTCATAATCTATACAAAGCATGAAGTTCAGTTTCTTTCCTTGCTCATTATTTTAGTAGACATCTGTGCTATTTGAATATGTTATTCTGTGTTAACACGACTATGGCATAAACTGTATTTAAATAATGTGCAGAACAAAACTGAATGTATTTTTAAAGGGATGCAAAGAAAGAGCACAGCTGATACATTATGGAAAATGCTTATGAAATATCACCCGACCTGACTAAATTAGAACTGTGATTCCATTGTTCATGCATAGAGCTGGTCATTCTATTCTGGTATTGAACATATGAGTCTGTTCTGCCCAAAGATCAATACAGAGTCTTACAATTCTGCATTTAGTGAGTTTGATTTTCTGGTAGGATTTCAAAACCTTTCAAACCAATAAAATATTAGGTACACAAACAAATGTATATTTGAGAAGATAAATCTTTGGGAAGAAAAGGAGGCTGCCACTTTAAACAGATATCAATTGGTATTTATTAGAAACTGACTAATTAACCAACTCTACTAGTTTATATTTGGCAATATCCTACTATTGAACATAATTTTCTCCCTAAGAGAAGGCTAACACTTCGCTAATGATCATATAATAAGGTGGGCCATATCTTTAAAAAGTTAGAATTAGAAAAAATGTGCTCATTATTTTTCTTATATCCCGAGATTTTAGAAAACCTAGAAAATGGAATTAGCAGTGTGCGCTGAGAAACCCTCTACCATTTATCACCATGGTGAAGGAAAAATTCCCACATGAAACTAAGACTTATTTTCTTACCCTGGAGTATCATTACCATTATCATTGGATAAGAAACATTCTAGACAGAAGCAGTCTTAAAGAACATTCTAATTGAAGACCCAGGACATGTGCTGTCTTGTTAGAGTGTATGCGTTATTTGGTTAGGACAAAGTATCGTTTACTTCACCATGGTTTTTCACTTGTCCAAATCCTAGCAGGTTCTGTTTGGCAACAAATAAAGAGGCTCTCATCTTAGTGGTAATCCATCATGTTCAGTGGATGTGGGACTTAGCAGAACCTTTTACCTCATTTCTTCCATCTCCTAGGTGGGCTGGCTCATTATCCTTTCCTCTCTGACAATCAGTCCCACTGAGAGTTGGAGCAAGATTTCCTGACTTGTAAGCTGCTAAACCTTGTGCTTGTCTTACTTGCTGTGTGGGCTTCCCAGCCATGATGCCAAATGCATGAGTGTTTAGTCCATATGAAGTGAAAATATTAAAATATTAGTTATAGACTCTTAAATGCTAACTGGGTGATGACTGGAAGATACATCTCAAGTGTAGAGCAGGTCCTGGATTTCTGCAAATGAGACTTCAGGCACTATTGTGTCACTTAGGAAAAAAATAAAAACAGACAAGGAATGACAAAAACAAGATCCAGCTAGCTCGGATCTCACCTACAAAGAGTAAAGTAAATCAAATGTCCTTACCAGGACACACCTCTCCTCTGTAGATTTATTTAAGCCAGGTTTTCTCCAACCATACAGTAGATCATAATCACCTGAAGAGTTTGATAAAACACAGAATGCTGTGCTCCATTCTCAGAGTTTCTAATTCAGTAGAACTGGGATTGGGCCCAAGAATTTGCATTTCTAGTAAGTTTCCAGGTGGTACTGATGCTGCTGGTCTGAGAATCACACTTTGAGAACTTTGATTTAAGTAGTATAAAGGAATGTAGCCACATAAGGTATAATAAATGTGAGTTTACACTGGCTGGGATTTCCAAACTGTCAGAAATTTAACCAGAAGCCACAAGTTAGCTTGTATGCATGTCAAAAATTTGTGTGCTCAACCCTGCAGTATGTAGGCTAGCCAAGTTAACCTGAACACCCCAGGGGGAGGTTCCCTTTAAAACATTTGGCAAATATCATTGAGAAACTCCTTTTATATCTAATGTCATTTTGTCCGTAAGAACATCATAAGCTCACCCAGCAATCCCATTACTAGGTATATATCCAAAGTATTATAAATCGCTCTACTATAAGGACACATGCACACGAATGTTCATTGCAGCACTGTTTACAATAGCAAAGACCTGGAACCAACCCAAATGCCTGTCAATGATAGGCTGGACAGGGAAAATGTGGCACATATACACCATGGAATACTATACAGCCATAAAAAACGATAAGTTCGTGTCCTTTGTAGGGACGTGGATGAACCTGGAAACCATCATTCTCAGCAAACTGACACAAGAACAGAAAATCAAACACTGCATGTTCTCACTCATAGGTGGGTATTGAACAATGAGAACACATGGACACAGGGAGGGAAGCATCACACACTGGGGTCTGTCAGGGGAAAATAGGGGAGGGCCAGCAGAAGGTGGGGAGTTGGGGAGAGATAGCATGGGGAGAAATACCAGATATAGGTGATGGGGAGGAAGGCAGCAAATCATACTGCCATGTGTGTACCTATGCAACAATCTTGTATGTTCTTCACATGTACCCCAAAACCTAAAATGCAATAAAAAAAGAATATCATAAACAATATTACCAAAATTTGTATTGAATTAGATGCATTATATAAAGGACAGGTTGAATGGTCATATTTGTTTGTGCTTGCCCTGTAGTTCTCAAACTTAAAGACTTTCACAAAAATTTCCTGGAGGGGCTTGTTATAGCTCAGATTCCCAGGCTCCACGCTAGGGGCCCTGATTCAGTAGGTCTGGAGTGAGCCTGGTAACTCGCATTTCTCACAAGCTCTCAGATGCTGCCAATGCTGCTGATGGATAGACATACTTTTAAGAACTGCTGTTCTAGGTGGATTAAAGCCAGAACATAATGATCACCCTTTCTCTTTGTTACAGTCTAGAAATCATTTGAAAATGCTAAAAAAAAATACAGGGGATAATATTTAAAAGCTTTTGTAGCTTCTACCTAAAATGAAAAAAAAAGTATCTTAATATTTGCTTCATATTTGTTTTTAATTTTCAAGTAGAATTATGTAAGTAATATTAGATAGTTTTATTTGGCATATCTGAATTTTATTAAATGATGTCATAATGTATATAACCTCTAACTTGCTTTTTTACTTAATATTGTTTTGAGATAAATTCACACTGTTGTGAAGAAAATAACTTTATTTAAAAATTATTCTAGTTTTTTTTCCACAATTTATCCATTACTAATTTCTCCAATACCAAGGGATATTGTCAAGTATTTGCTATTGCAAATATTAATAATATTGTCATGTCTTCTTGGGCCTAGGGTGAAAAGTTCTCAAAATGTGGTCTGAACCTATGGGGGTGCCTCACACTCTTTTAGGGAGTCTACAAAATTCAAGTTTGCTTTTTTAACTTTCATTGTTTCCTGTATATACAATGGAGTTTTTCAGAAGCTACATTACATGTGATAATGTCATTGATTGATGGATGCTTAATGGATCATGTGCTTTATATTCTTATGTTTTAAATTTTCTTGGCTGGGCACAGTGGCTTATGCTTGTAATCCAGCACTCTGAGAGGCCAAAGCAGGATCACTTGAGTTCAGGAGTTTGAGATCAGCCTGGGAAACATAGCAAGACCTCATCTCCACTTAAAAAAAAAAAAAGTTAGCCAGACATGCTGGTATGTACCTGTCATCCCAGCTACTCTGGAAGCTAAGGTGAAAGGATCACTTGAGCCTAGGAGGCCAAAGCTACAGTGAGCCGTGATTGTGCCACTGCACTCCAGCCTGGGTAACAGAGCAAGACCCTACCTCAAATAAATAAATAAATAAGTTTATCAGTTTTAATATCGAATGCAGTGTCTATTAACAGATATAACATAAACTAAGGTCCCGTTTAGGTCCTCGATACTTTTAAGAGGTTCCTGAGATAAAAAGTTTGAGAACCACTGTCTTGGGACTTATATTAAATGTGATTACCTGTGGCTTCTGCAACTTGCCTTTCACACACTACTCACTTTTTTGTTTTTTTAAATGAAAATAGATACTTTTGTCTTTTCCAGTTGGCCAGCAATCTTCTAATCTCTACAACCTTTTCAAAGATTATTGAATACAATATTCCATCCCTTTTAGTGTATACCATATCATTTCTCTAAACCAGTTGTTTTGAAGTTCTTTAAATAAGGATTGTTAGATCCTTATTTACCATCTGTTTTCTAATTTCGCCTTCAAAATCTTT